GATTTTGTTGCTCCAATCTTTATTATTTCCTTTATTCTTATTTTGTGCTTAATTTGTTGTTATATTTCTAGTTTCTCAATACGGAAGCTGATGCTGTTGATTTATGGCCCTTCTTCCTCTGACGCAGGTCTGTGGTGCTGTGAACTCGCCTCTGAGGCTGTGTTGGCAGAATCCCACCAATTTTGATATGCTGTGTTTTCATATTCATTTAAAAACATTTTCTTATTTCTATTTTGATTTCTTCTTTAACTAATAGGTTATTTAGAAGTGTATTGTTTCCAAATATTTGGAAGTTTTCCAGAGGTCTAACTTTTATTGATTTCCATCTTAATTCTGTTCTGGCCAGAAAACACGCTCTGCATTGCTTTTACTTCTTTTGAGTCTGAGGCATGTTTTATGGCCTAGCATACGTGTTTATCTTGGCAAACGTTCCACGTGCACCTGAGGAGGAGGTGTGTTCTTCTGCATGGGGTGGAGTGTCCTCTAGACGCCAGCTGGCTCAAGCTGGCCTGTGGGTCAAGGCTCTGTCCCCTACTTTCCGCTGTCTGTCCCCCGGGTCTTGGAAGGACAGTCGTGTTCAAGTTTGCTTCTGGTAAGTCAACTGCCTGCGCTCGCTCCTCACCTTTATTTCTTCCCGCGCCTTGTCTGTGACCGTGTGCATCTGCAGGAAGGACTGGAGTGGGCTCTGATGCTATCTTCCTCCAGAAGGGATTTTTTGTGTGTTTTTACTTCTTCCAGACACAGGGTGGTGATAGTTGTCTAGACTCACGTGACTCCAAGTTCAAAGTCTGCCTTTTATGTTCCAACTGATGACTCGAGGTTGTCCAGTTCACCCTCATTCCTGGGGTGCAGCCCCCCAGGCAGGGTGTGGGTTTCCGGGGTCCCCCTGTCAGTGGGGTTTGAGGCTAACGGGGCCCTTTTCTCTGCGAGGCTCAGCTGGCCCCCGGCCGAGCCTGGGTTCATCTCTCTGGGCACAATCATCTCCTGACCCTCAGCCTGGCACCTCCTCCCTCACTCTTGTCCCTTTGCTGTTTAGAGAAGATGCAAACACACCTCACTCCCGTGTCTGCTGACCTCCGGGAAAGGGTTAACCTGGATCACTCGCTTCTCCGAGATGGGCAGGAGCCTGCTCACTGTTCCCTCTGAACTCTGTAGAACTCTTGGTTAGGTGGTGGGTCTCCCGGGCTAGTCCTCTGATCTTGAAGCATATTGGGTGTCCATTTTCCACATCACTTTTTGGTTTGACTTTCTGAGTGACTCCTTCAACTCATTTCCAGTCCTTACCTTGTTTTTATTTCTGCCTTCATTGTTCCTATTTGCAAGAGTTTTCTCTCTCTGTCTCTCTGAATGTTCTCCTTCTTTCTCTCTTTCTTTTCTTTAGTGTTCTATCGTTTCAAGGATGCAGTCCACATTCCGTATGTCCGTGGGGGATGTTCATGGCGTGTCTCCTCCCTTCCGGCTCTGCTCGCTCCGCATCCCCTCTCTCTCACTTTCAGCCCATCATCCTTGATGGAGGTTCTCATCAGAGGTCTGGTGACTCGCACTGGAGAGACCCAAAATGCTGACTATGGCTGGCACAGTTGCTCAGTGGGAGGACCCCCCGCTGCCAGTGTCCTTAGTCTTTGAGTGTGGGATGCCCAGGTTCCTCAGAGAAGTATTGTCCAAGCTCCCGTCTGGGAGTCATGCGGGGGCCTGGGGCCTCACATTCAGTACAGGGGCCTTTCCACGTTGCCCAGTGTCTGTCCCTCTGCCCTCAGGTGTCTGGGTGTGCCCTAGTCCCGGATCCTCCCGGCTTCCCCCCGGTTCACATCTCCGTCTCCAGAGTTCCAGCGGGGTCGGCTGGGCTTTGCCGCCTCCACAAATCTCCACTTTCAGCCTCACTGGCATCTCTCTTTCAGAGGTACCTGGTGCCACTGCCAAATTTGAGCCTCGAGCAGGTAACTTCTTGCTGCTGGGCTTCGCCAACCATGGGCTTGTGCTCCAGCCCTCTGCTCACCCCACTCTTGTATCCAGTTTCTGAAATCATGTTGCTGTTGCCCCCTCTGTCGTTCTCATTACATGCGCGGGATTTAAGGAGCGAGCAGGTTGTGCTCAGTTCACTGCATTTAGTAGAAACCGCGTCCTCTTTGGGGGGAGGGGGAGGAGGAAGACAGAGGAGACCTCCGCTGGGACCTGGGGCAGTCAACAGGTCCGAGGGTGGCAGGGGTCGCAGGGTGAGCCTCAGTGCACGGAGCTCGTGTCCTCACCCGCTAATGGGCGTCCTGCCTCATGGGGCTCTGGGGCATGCGGCAGGTCTGGCTGGGCGCTGCAGGCCTAGGGCGCTCTGGCTTCCTGCCGCCGCCCAGACAAGCCGGGTGGGCGCCTCTTCCTTCCCGCCGCAGTAGTCCCCACCTTCCCAGTGTGGAAAGAAGGGCGCAGCCGCTGGAAGTACACGTCTTCCAAGGCCGGGAAATAGACACGTGGAGCCTCAGAGAGGCGGAGAGTGCGCCCTGCAGCTCAGCCAGCAAGAGCTGAGTGGGGCACTCGCCGGCCCTCCAGTCCCAGGGGGTGGTGGGACCTGGAACAAATGAATAAACAGACGGACAGACAGTCTGGACAGCCCTGGGAGCTGGGGCGGCTTAGCCTCTCTGTGCCACCCTGCTTGGAGACAGGCTGGTGGGAGGGGTCCGGGCAGAGGAGGACTCCCTCCTCAGCGTCCTCGGCTGACAGGAGCAGACAGGGATGCGCTGGCGATTGGCCAGGGATGGGACGCAGCATGGGGGACCCAGGCAGCGAGACTGGTGAGGGCTGGGTCCCAAGGTCCTGATAAGGATTTGACAATTTATCTTATGAACAGCAAGCATTTGATGGCAGGATCAGCTGAGTTGGGGGAGGAGCGGGGAACCAGGGTGTCCCACAGGCATGGCTCAGAGGGGTAGGTGGGCAGCCCTGCAGGGCTGGAGATGTGGCCTGAGCCACGGAGGATGCCAGGAGCATAGCCATGGGGCGGAGGCACGGCTCTCTGTCCTGCCTGCAGGAGGAAGTGCTCACTGTTGGGTGGGAGAGGGGGGCCAGCAGCTGGGTGTGCCGTATGGAGTGAGGGCTTGTGACACCCGTGGTGGGCTGTGGAGGGGCAGCTGTGGGTCTGGAGACCAGAGGAGGGTCCTGCTGGTGTCTCAGGGAGGTGCTGGGCTGGGAGTGGGGACTAGGATGAGAATCGTCCTGGACAGAGTCCCATGAACCCCGGGCATGGCCTGGAGAGGAGGGGCCGCATAGATGCGGCCGGGCGGTGCTCCCTCCCTCGGGAGAGTTCGGTGGGGAGACCCCCGCCAGGGTGCCCAGGCTGGAAGCCGAGAGGACGTCGAGGCCTCAAGAGCGGTTGGGGCCTGGGCCACCACCCGGGTGTCTTCCTTCCCGGCTGAGGCTGATCCGCCGGGCCTGGACCTCGCTCCGCCCCCCGAGCGGGGTCCGTGCTGCCCTCCAGTCTCAGCTCCTCCTCCAGGAGGCCAAGGGGCCGCCTCCGAGACGGCATTCCCGCAGCCCCGCCCTCCGCTTCCCCCTCCAGCTGTGCCCTGGACGCCGCTATCCCTTAGCTGGTGTCTGACCTGCCGACAAACCCGGCGGACGCTGTCGGCCTTCTTCCCGCTCGGCGCACGCCTCTCGCAGCCTCTCCCGGTGCGGGCTCCGAGTCGCCCCCTCTCGTCCCCGGCGTTCCTTCTCTGGGGGCCTCTGGCCTCCTCTCTTCTCGCTCCACCCGTCCTGGCGGGTCTGGCATGCTCCTGACTGTGACTACTCGCTGTTTGCTGGTGACCCCGAAAGGTTCATCCACTGCCCACTTTCCTCTCAGCTCCAGACCCAGGCATCGAGCTCCCTATTGGACGTCCCGAGCTGAACTCGGCGTCTTCCTTAGACCTGCCGTAGGGCGCCGGGAGCCCCATCCTCATGGTCCTGGGCCCCACACCAGGGCCTCTGGGAGGTGCTGGGGTCCCGGAGTATCTGGGATGTGCCTCAGCACATCCAAGATCTTGGGTTCCAGCTCCTGAGTGTCTGTTTAACCCAGACCTGCACCAGCCTCTCACCTGGGCCTCCCCGGCTCCCTCGTTCCCGGATTCCTGCTTTCATCTTGTGCTCCTACATGCAGCGTCCTCTCTGAAGTCAGAACAATCTTAAAAGCTCAGATGTGAGTTTACGCCTGCCACGCTCAAAGCCTCTCACTAGCTCCCCTACGCGCTGAGGTCCACAGCCTCGCCCGGGCGGGAGGCCCAGCATCAGGCCCCTGCCTGCCATTGGCCCATCTCTGCTCCAGGGACTGTTTCTTCTTTCAGTCCTCAGTTTGGGGCAGCTGCCCTCCAACCCAAGCCAATATCGGGGCTTGTCCCTGGTCCCCAGATTTTGCTTCTTCCCAGCATCCAGCCAGACACCTGACTGGGCTGCGTTCACCTGCTCCCTGTCCGCCCGTCACCCACCAGCCTCGTCTTCTCCCTCAGGCTTGTGATGGGCTCTTACCTCGTCCCCTGACCCCCTCCCGCCCTCTGGGCCCCTCTCTCCACAGTGGCAGAGTGGTCTTTCTAAGATGAAAATCTGAGCACGTCACTGCCCTGCTTAGAGCTCTTCAGTGGCTTCCATCTCCATAGAAGGACGTTCACATAGCACCTTGTCAGCCCCACTCGTCGTCCCGGGGCCCGGCTGGCCCTACACCTCGGCTCCTTCTGGTTTCCGGATTCGCTTTCCCCTCTCTGCCTCCCGTCATTACTGTTCTCCTGCAGGGCTCTCCACTCCCGCTGGGACTAATTCTCAAATGCATCCCCATCCCACAAAAGCATCCCTGTCCCCCGGACAGACCCTGTGTGCCCCCGCGCCCCGCCGAGGAGGCCTCCCTGTGTGGCAGGACTGACCGGAGCGGCACCTGTTGCTTCCAGGTGTCTGAGCCAGCTGTGGGCCCTTGGCGAGGGGCTGGCCCTCAACATGAGTTTTGTTAATTAAATGACAGATCTGTGAGCCAGTATTTTCACTCTGCTTCTTTAAATGGTCAATTTACAGAAGGACAATCTGGAAGTACGTCCATTCTGAAAAAGGGCCGTGTCCGTAATTTCTGATTAAAGGCGCTGTCCACAGAACGTTTGTTCCACTGTAGAGCCTGCCATGGTGGCTGGGCGGTGGCCTGCGCCAGGACTCTCCAAGCCTCGTGCTGACCCAGTGATGGGTCAGCTGGTGCCAGGTCCGTCCAGCAGGAGGCCCCTTGGTTAGCTCTGCCTACAGTCCTGGCTGGAGGGGCGAGGCCAGGATCCAGCCCCTCCCCTGCAGTGCTGGGCTCTGCTCCTGCTCATCCTTCCTCATGGATGGCGGAGAGACGCTGGGGCTGCCCAGCACCACCTCCCGGGGCAGCGGAGCAGGCCTCTCTGGCCTGGACGCTGCTGCCCTCACTCACTCCCCTGGCTCCTAAGCCCACACCACCCGAGTTCTTGTCCTCGTCCTCTATAATGCCCTCTTCCGGGGGGGCCTGGTCCCACACGCTTTGGGTCACTGATCAGCATGGGGCCTGTCACATGAATGCTGAGTGGGTGGCTGTGACCTCAGTCTCTAGTGTGTTTCTGTGGTGGCCCTGTGAGTGAAGCTCAAATCCCGATTGTCCATTGCACAGGGTGAATATTCCATATTTCCCCAACCCTGCCAGCTCGACTGGCAATTAGCTGAAGTCCTGCAGACGCCACGCGATTTCTGGCTGGCATGCAGGCCGCAGCTGCAGCACAGGCTCGGCTGGGCCCTGGTGACTCTGGAAGTCACGCAGAAAACTGACGCTGTCATCACAGTGACACATGGCTCAGAGCCCTCGAGCATCAGGCAGTGGATGGAGCTCTTTCCGAAGCTGAGGGCACTGATCATGGGGGTCTGGGGCCCTCACAGCCTCTCAGGAGAGCAGGCGAGGGATTCCTCCAGGGGAGACCGAGGCACTGCACTCCCAAGTGGTGGGTGTGGACACCCCGTCACCATCTCCCATCAGTGACAATGTGCTTGGGTCGAGGGGTCTTGGCTGGGGTGGGTGGTCGGCCTTCTGCAGACGCCTGCTCCATAGTGAGGCCGAAGCAGGTCAGCTGGGACAGGGCTCCTTGTGCCAGGTCCTCAGAGCGGCAAGGCCACTGCCAGGTGGACGGTCAGGAAGGGGACAGGAAGGGGCCTGAAGGCCAGGGTGCTGCCGTGCGTCCTTGGTGGGAGGACCCCCAGCCTGCGGGTCATCTGTGAGCTCGGGTCCCACAGGCCCTCTGGCCTGGTCTTGTTCGCACCACCTGCTTCTAAAAGAGGAGAAGCTGGCCCAGGGGCCGCTGGTCGTGGGCGGGCAGCTCTGCTCTCTGTTTGGGAACATTCTCTCCGGAGTCTCATTTCCTCTGCTGCTTTGTCAGCATGCCAACCCTTTACCTTCCCTCGTTGGGAACCAAGCTGTGTGGCCCCAGACTCTCCCCCACGACCTTGCATGGAGTTGTGACACTGCAGCTAACCTGGCCCCTGAGGGCCTGGCTGGAGGAGGGAGCACCCAGCAGAGGCTGCCCAGGGCTGGGGCCTCACAGGAAGTCAGCAGGGAGGTGGGGGCCAGGACTGCACCCCGGCCACACTGCCTCCTACACCTGTGTGGGGCCAGAGGATGTCGCGCCTGGAACAGGGGTGTCGGTCTCTGATCTGCTCACTCGGGGCAGCAATTGGAAAGTGCCCAGGATAATTCCCCTGTGGAGCTGCAGGGTCAGGCTGAGGGGGCTCCGAGAGGGGTGGATGGCCCAGCCTGCGAGGGGTGGGCCAGGTCGGGGCGGCCACCCTGTGTGATCACCAACAGGCCTGAGTCCTGAGCAGGCCCTGCTTGGAGGAGGGGCAGGGACGGGGATATGTGCTGACTGCATCTTCGGTCGCTCACGCCGGCCCCTGGCCGCCTGGTACAGCTGGTGAGGGGACAAATGAGAGAGCTGCAGGGGTCTGGAGCGCCTGAGCGAGCGCAGGGTCCTGGGAGACCCCTAGGAGGAGGCGCTCAGGGCCTGGGCCGCCCGCTGCCCTGCCCTGCGCAGCGCCTCCTTGACCTCCCGGTTCCGCAGGCAGTAGATGATGGGGTTGAGCAGGGGCGTGAGCACCGTGTAGACCACGGACACCAGCTTGTTGAGGTCAAAGGAGTAGATGGCACGCGGCCGGGCGTAGATGAAGAGGGAGGCGGAGTAGAAGATGACCACCACGGCCAGGTGGGAGGCGCAGGTGGAGAAGGCCTTGTGCCGGCCGGGGACGGACTGGATGTGCAGCACGGTGCCAAGGATGGCGCTGTAAGAGAAGACGGTGAGCAGCAGCGGCCCCAGGAGGATGAGCAGCGCCAGGAGAAAGTCCACAAGCTCGGCCACAGACATGTCAGAGCACGCCAGGTTCAGCAGGGGGGACACGTCACAGAAGAAGTGGTTCATGATGTTGGGGCCGCAGTAGCCCAGGCGTGAGATGAAGAAGACCTTCCCCAGGGAGATGGTGAAGCCTGAGAGCCAGGAGCCGGCCGCCAGGAGGCTGCAGAGGCCAGGACTCATGACGATTGGGTAGCGCAGGGGACTGCAGATGGCCACGTAGCGGTCGAAGGCCATGACGCCCAGGAGCGCACACTCGGTGCAGGCCAGCGCCAGGAAGAAGTACAGCTGCGCCATGCAGCCTGAGAAGGAGATGTGGCGGAACTTGGGCCCCGCCAGGCTGAGCAGCATCTTGGGCACGGTGACAGAGATGTACCACACCTCCAGGAAGGACAGGTTGCTGAGGAAGACGTACATGGGCTTGTGCAGCGGGGGGCTGGCGCGGATCACGGCGACAATAACCACGTTCTCTGTGATGGTCAGCGTATAGACCAGCAGGAACAGCACCAGCAGGCACATGTGGAGGCCCCTCGAGCCCGGGAAGCCCACCAGGATGAACTCGGTCACTTCCGAGTGGTTGTCCCTGGCTGACATGGGGGCATGGCCCCTCCTGAGGGCAGAGGCTGCACGTTAGATGCAGATGGGGTCGGGGAGAGGTCGGGGGTGGGGTGGAGAGGCCGAGCCCCCACTTTGCTGTGTGTGAGGAGCTCCCCACCATGGGAAGGGGGCCTGGTCCTCTCTGTGTTTCCCCAGACAGACTGTGGCCGGCCCACTGCATCCTCCAGTTTCCCACCAGGCATTTGGTGGGAGCTGGGCGGATGTGGGCTCTGCTCTGGGGCCATAAGCCTGGTCTGGCTACAGACGTTGGACAGGCACTATTGTTTCATGGGAGGACCTGCAGAGTGCCACAACAGCGGCTTGGGGGCCGACTTGAACCTGCAAACAGGCTTGCATGAGGCCTGAGCTGCATCACAGTACCCACAGCTGAGCAAGAAGGTTCTGGGGCCGGATGCCCTGTGCCCTCTGATCCCAGCCCCTTCAGTGATGGTCAGGGGGCTGCGAGGGGGCAGGGCTGGTGGCGGCTTGCTCCTGCTACAAGGAATTGCTTTCATGGGCTTGAACGGACCAGATCCTGAGGACAGAAGTCGGCTCCCTCTGCCCCGCCCGGCTGTGGCAGCCTGGGTGTCCTCCTTCCTGCTGGCCTGTGGGTTTGCGGGCTCAGGTGCTCCCCAAAATGTGGCTGAGCCACATCCAGGGCCCCCTGCACCCTGCCTCACATCCACCTGTCCTCTTCATTCCAGGAATGGGCCCCTCAGAATGTTTCCATGGACCACGGACCATGTGGCCCCTGTCCTGCATCTCACCACCAGGAGCCCTCAGAGGGCACCCATGCAGGCCTCAGCCCACCCCGAGCCCTCAGAGCTGAGCCCAGGGCAGGCCCTCCACTCATGGAGCAGATGCTCCCTGGACCGCCCCTTCTTCAGGAGGCCCTTGTGCCCAGAACCCTGCAGCGTGGGCTCCCCCCATCCCCGGGTCTGGGCTCCAGTCCCCGTCGCAGTGCCACCTCCTCCTGGAGCCCCAGGTCTCCCGAGCCTCCCCCACCTCTGCCTGCCCAAGGTGGCGCATTTGGGAGGCGGCATAGCCCAGGGCTCCAGCATGTGGGACCCTCCTCCAGCCACCTGTGCCTCGGACAGGACCCCTGCCCTCTCTGTGCCTTGCATGTCGAAGCTGTCCCAAGGTCATGGTAGGACCCTTTCTGGGCTGACAGGAGGGTGTGGGGGCGCACGAGGTCCTGGGACCACAGGTGGTCTGCACACTCGCTGCACTCACTCTGGGGCGTCCAGTGGCCTGTGGCATGGCGGTGACGCTGAGCTGCAGGAGGGATCCTGGGCGGATGTCAGTGGGGTTGTCCCTCTGTGTGGCAGGGCCCTGGGTAAAATGACCTCTGGGCCCCTCTATCTCTATCCTCCCACCGTGGTTCCTGGTGACCCCCACGACCAGTGTCTGCTCAGATCTGTGAGACTTGGAACAAATGTCGATCCTTGTCCAGTCCCCTATCTGAGAGATGAGCAGAAGTGTCGCCTTGTCTGACGGGAGGGGAGGGAGGCACAGCAGCAGGAAACTGCGTCCTCGTCACACAGACACGTGCAGACAGTGGAAGCTCCCTGACTCCGCTGAGACGCACCAGTCAACACGCACACTCCCCAAACCTGACACGATGCAGAAGCACACACGCTCGTCCCCCAAACTCAGATTCACACCCAGGCACCCAGGCACCCCGAGTCCAAGCTACATCCACCTCCACACCCGGACATGCACCCCCAACAGATCCAGACCCTGCACACGGACATTAGCACCCAGGCCTCAGACAGACACACAGACGTCCGTGTCTGCCCAGGAGACAGACAGCCTCACCAGCCACACACTCTCCACAGAAATATGTGAACAAACACAGCTCTGTCACACAGATAAACCCCAAACCACAGACCCGGCCCCTTATGCAGACACAGCCCTGTTCATCAACAGACCCCAGACAGGCTTGCCGCCCAACGTTATCCACGCATGGGCGCTCACAGGTGTGCTCATGGAAATAGGTACACACAAGTGCCTACCCAAGAACACACGGGCGTACACAGACACACAGGTGCACATGTACACACACAGGTGCACACACAGGCACACACATAGACACAGGTGCACACACAGACACAAGTGCACACACAGACACAGGTGCACACGCAGGCAGGCTCTCAAACACAGACACACAAGCCCTTCAACTCTCGCCTATGGGAGGCTAACAAGGTTTTAGGTGGCAGATCTGGGTTTAAGCCCCAGCCCCGCCCCACGCTGTGCCCTGACCCACCAGCCCCAACTCCTCACCTGTGGAGGGGCAGGTCTGACAGTTCTCTGATTTCTGGAGGACTCAGTGCCACTCGGGGCAGGGACCTGGCAAATGTGGGTCCTTATCTGGTCCTTGAGCACTCAGAGGGGCTCAGTGTGAGAGAAACAGCTAGCATGGCTCTGCAGGAATCCCAGGGCCAGGTCAGGGCTGCCAGAGGCTGACCACGGGCTCTGACAAGGCCACATCTTGCCCTCAGCTGAAACCAGCCCTGGGCGCTGGACCCCAGGATCTCTCCGTCCCAGGGCTGCCGAGTTCCCCGTGACCATCCAGGTCCGTTCCAGCCAGAACAGAGCTGGGAGGATGCACAGAGAGGAACCTGGCTGCAAAGACCCCCTCACAGTAGAAGAGGCCCCTCTAGTTGGAGACAGCACTCCATGCCGAGGTGGATGGAAGCAGAGCTCCTCAGTGTCTGCACTGCACAGGGGCAGGAGTCAAGTTCTAGGGGGAAAGCAGGAGGGACCCCGGTCTCCTGCTGCTGGGCACGTCCCCTGTGCGTGGGGGGAACGGCCAAGGGCCCCGAGGACTGGGCAGCCCGGGAGCCTGCGTGCCCCCCTTCCCAGCCCAGAAGTGTGTTTCTGCAGGATAATCCTGTGTAAATGGGAAGCTGACCTCAGCCCTCACTCACTCCCTCCTGGCAGGAAAAGAGCTCGCAGGAGAGGAGGAGCTGGAGCCAGGTGGGGGGAGCCAGCTCCTTCCCCCTCCCTGCTGCCCCAGGGGCCGGCCACAGGCAGCTCCTCCAGGGAGGCCCCGCAGGCCTCCGCCAGGGACCAGCTTCCACCGTGACCAGCCCTGTTGGACAAAGTGGCCCAACTCAGAGGCCAAATGGACACGTGCCCCTGCCCTGCTGTCCTTGTGGGGGCAGGGCAGGTATGGTCTGGACGGCAGCGGGGATCTGGGATCAGGTGCAGGTGCAGGTGCACCCTCACCCCCCAGCAGTGGGGCCGGGTAGAAACCAGCCCCGACCCCAGCCAGGCCCTGCCCTCCTGGGGGCTCCACGCTAGCGCTCAGAGAGGTTGGGCTGAGGCTCCTCCCTGGCACATATGGCCCAGTGTCTGTCCACACTGTCCTGTCAGCCTCTGTCTGTACTCCATCTGAGAAGGGGCCCCATGGGCCACAGGGGACAGCTGACCAGCCCCTTTGAGGTGTCTGGAGCTGCCCACCTGGCCTGGGGTCCTGGCCCCAGCAGAGCCTAGACCTCTGGGGCTGCTCTGTCCCAGGACCTCAGGTGGGGGTAGGTTATCACTTTACAGAAGTCACCTGCCCCCCGGTTCATCATTCAGCCACATTTGCAGGTTCTTCACCGCATCTCCGGCAGTGCTCTCGGGACACAGCATCCAGCAGACGAGCTCCTGCAGTGTGGAGAAGTGAGGGTCCAAGGCCCTGGGAGCAGGGGCTTTGCAGGGCTGGGGAGAGGTCGGGAGCAAGTCTCCGTGAGATAAAGAGACAGGTGGAGACGTGAACATGTGAGCCTGGAGTTCAGAGCTGGGCTGGAGGTGGGCGTTTGGGGTCGGCCAGGGCATGAGGGCATTTCATCATGAGGCTGAGAAGAAGACCAAGGACTGGGGCCTGGAGGATGAGGGTGGGGATGAGAAAGGAGCCCGGGCAGGCCGGGGAAGGAGGGTCGATGAGTCAGCCGTGTGAGGCTGGCTCTCTGCTGTGGGCGGCAGCCTTACTCGGCCTAGTTTGGGGCCTTCTGAGGACGCTCTAGTCTATTGAGGCTGTAATTTAGGAGACTGAGAACGGATGTGGCCAGCGCTGATGGCCAAGGGAGGGCTCTCAGACGTGTGGGTGTGCGCCACATGTCCCTTCTCTCGGTCCCACACCATCTCTCCCCCGCTGGGCCTGGAGGCAGGGGAGCAGCTGGGGGCTCCGGAGCAGGGCTGCCCACCCTCTGGGCCTTTGTCCCCAGCACCTTGGCCCTTGGCTCCCCTCAGCTCAGCCTGTGCCAACCAGGCAGCTTTGCAGAATGGCAGCCAGAACCTTCCAGGGGACGTAGCTCTCAGCCCCACCTTAGCGCCCCCAGCCTCCCCCTGGTCTGCTCATGACTCCCTCGCCCTCGTGCAAATCTCCCCACCCCTGTGCCCTCCCAGGAGCCCAACACCACAGGCCCTCGGGGGTCCTGGGGTCCGATGGGTCCTGGAGACTCTTCAGGCACCGAGAATCTCAGGCTGCAGAACTGCTAGGACTTCTGGCTCTTGTGTTGAAGACCGGTTGAAGGGTTCTTCGTGGGAACCCCAGCACCCGTGGACAGCCCTCCTGATTCGAGACCCCTGGTTCCCCAACCTCCTGCTTCAGGGCCCTGCCGTTTCAGCCCCTCTGCACCCGCACCCCGGCTTCCCATCACCCCGAACTTCACCTCTGGGTCTGAGACATGAGGACCAAGGTGCTGCCTGTTGCTCAGGGTCAGCCCAAACTCCCCTTGTCCCACCTCAGTCAGCACCACCCCCTCCCCGGCCTGCAGGGTCAGTACTTGCCCTGCCCCCTGCAGAGCCTGGCAGCTCCAAGCGAGCGCCCCCAACCCTCCCCCGGCTGCTGCCTTCCCTGCAGGCTTCGTACACTCTAGCCACCCCCACCCTTCTCAGAAAGCCAGCCACCTGGCAGGGGTACCAACTTCCTGCTTCCCCCCAGAGACCTTATCTTTGTCCTCACACATCCTGGGGGCCCTCCTGCCAGCACAGCAGGCAAGCTCTCTGTCCCAGCCCCCACCCCTTAAGG